GGTGGGGGCAGAAAGTGGAAATGAAAGCAGACAACAGAACATTGCTAGAGAACAGGAAAGGAGGTGAAAGGAGACAATTTTAGAGAAGAAAATTTTTCGGTCACTACCCGGATTCGAACCTGGGACCTTTTAATGAGAGGCCAACACCTTAACCTCTAGGCCACGAGAGCCCCCAAGGAATCTTTAACGTGCACAACTTGCGACCAAGAAGGCTAGGTGTAGATCTTTCCTACCAGAAGATCAGGGGTGTGGCTGAAGGACAGCAGAAAGAAGGAGCCGGGGAGTAGCAGTAGAAAGGCTGCAGAAAGAGTCCGGATCCCAGAGGTGGGAGCAAAGAAGGTGAGGGAGTGGGGGGGCAGAAAGTGGAGACGAAAGCAGACGACAGAACATTGCTAGAGAACAACAAAAGAGGTAAAAGGAGACAATTTTAGTGAATAAAATTTTTCGTCGCTACCCGAATTCGAACCCGGGACCTCTGAATGATAGGCGAACACCTTAGCCTCTAGACCACGAAAGCCCCCGTTGATATGTCTTACGTAATGAGTATCCCTTTACATGGAAATAGCTTATTTTGCATGCATATCAGGAAACAATAAGTCTATAAATTAGTTGGTTGAATTTTTCCTAAACGAATCAGAACATTGTTAATGAATTTTTTCCTGAAGTAGTATTCAAGTTTGCAAAATATCCGTGAAAATCCACCTTCCAGACACCACCAACAAAAATCTATTCATATATTGAAAATTCAACAAAAGTAGTTTTAGTGTTACATCTTCTCTTCATTCTGTGGAAATTGAATAAAGTTTGGATGAAAAATGGAGGGCTTTTTTTTTTTTTTTTTTCACTACGTAGAAAACCCACGTTTTGTGAAAACGGGCTGTAAAGAAAAATAAAAGATTGACTTGATGAGGAAATGGTGATGACTAACGCGCCAGGCATGTGGAAAAATGAAGCCTTAGAGGGTTATTACGCAATGATATTATTGTTAGAGAAATGAAAGAAACCAAAATGCCTACATCTCAAAATCCACAATTTTGCGCGGGACTTTCAGGTTGCAGCCCATTGGCGGATTTATACGCCAGCTAAAAATTCTTTGAAAATTTCTTTGCTAGAATCTAGTATCACATTCGCGGAAATAATTGCACTGTCTTCAAATCTTGATGTGAACGGAAGTATTGCTAAATGGAAGTGTTCGCTTCCTGTGTGGGGGCATTAGCTAAAACAAAATTTCTAAGTGAGTGAGTGGTATCATAATTGCACTTTTCGTCCAACTCTCAGAGGGAAGCTCAAAACATTATGAGTAACGTTTTTAGCTGTCTGTGGTCTGGAGTATAAAGTTGTTTTCTATTGTCTATCAAAGGCAAGTCCCATTGCTGCTGTAAAGAAATAAATGTTACAAGCAGTAAAAAGGTTTTGTGCCAGCCGCAAACCTACCATTTATTGTACTAATTCTGTCTACCGGTTGTCTGGGGGTCGAAAAATATTATTTATCAGTTATTTTAGAACTGAGAAGCACTTTCTGACCGATGTAAAATATAGATTCGATGAGGAAAAAGTGTACTCTGCCTCCAAAATTCAAGCCCTCAGCAAGGAGACTTGCTACAAAATCCTTTTCTTGAATTGAGAGAGAGATAAACATAATGACAACAACAAAAATAACTAATCGTATGAATCCCATATAGAACCTGCAATGCAGGAAGGGCAGTGTACGCCGTTGGGGTTAAAAGGGTACTTCAAAAATGCAGCGGACGTAGTTTATTCCTGTTGAAAAGGAACATTGTTCTGATTTTTCTGTTTCATGGTGCTATCAAAAGTAATTATACAGAATTGAACAAAAGTTAAGGACCACTTGCAAACACTCTGAGTGGTCTTCTTGGGTCGACCGGCACGTGGGCGTTCTTGGACTGATCCAGTGGCTTGGTGGGGCTGCCTCAAGCGGACAATGACAGTGTGACACTGCAAGCCTTCTGGCAACTCTCGGGCTCTGTCTCCACCCTGCAGCCATGCCATAGCTCCGGCACGATCAAAGCCTCTCAGCTTTCTTCTCGGTGACATGTTTATGCGATACTGGATTTTGCGCAAGCGGCACTTATATTGGCATCTAAGTGAGCACGGTTCGAGACCTTACGTCCGTCTATCACGTGCACCAGAAATTTTAACTGAAGAATGTCTGTGGTGTTGCACACAAGTCGATAAAAAAACCCCCAGCAAATTCGGCTAAAATTCCCCGCGGAATTCCGTGCTGCAAGTGGTGGTTTTGCCCCTTTAGGAAGCTTTGCGGTACGCATTGGTAACCCATTAACACTTTCAGAGCAAAAAAATTTGAAACATTTCTTACTGTCTTTTTTCGGATTTTTAAAAAATAAACAGGGCTGTCTGTCAAGGTGGTCCTTAACTTATGTTGAAGTCTGTATGACCGTGTGCCTACCGGCTTGTATAAGGAGCTGTTGTTAAGATGATAGTACCAGGGATGTTGTGATGCCGGTGGTAGGCGGTCACAAATGGAAGGTCGCGCTATCTTTTCGCCTCTTGTGTTTCTATCAATTTTGGGTTTTTTCCTGCACTTGAAGGTGTACTAGCGCTGACATTACTGCCGTTGTGAAACGTAAGTCTCGTAGTTTATTTGCTTCTTCACCCTTGCTTATTGTTCAGATTGCACATCGTCGTATGCCAACAGCGTATTTGCATACAATTTCTAGAATTGGCGACCACATTGACATTTCACTGCCCTAAAATTACAAAGTTTTATATACCCAGTGCCTAGTTTTGAGAAATTTGACATTAGTTGGTTTCTTTTTATAGTTTAATAATATGTCATTTTTTTTCTAATGCATGCTTTGAATACCTTGATACTGACTCCCAATTATCTTAAGATTTTGATAGAGCAAATAGAACATTATTTTAGTTTCTAACCTAATGATGTTAGTAACTCAAAACCGCCGAAAACGGTTGATAGAACTTTACAATTCTAAGGTAATGATTTGAAAGTGGGTTACAGGATATTTTGAGCGCTGCCTCTACAGGCCGAGCTCATAAGCCACTTAGACTAAAAAAGTTCTATTAAGTCGTTAAAATTGAAGTGATCTATCAATGTCTTAAACCTTGGGCTGGGTGTCAGGCTATATCGCGACGTTAGTTACTCTACTTCTACTACCAGCCAATAACATACAGTGGCTGTCAGCTTGATCTTGTTAGCAACTCGTTTTAAGTGTTCTGAGGTCACAGAAGGTATTCGGATAAAATTGAATGAAAAGTAACAACCGAGTGGAGAGTCTGTAATGACAAGAGGGGAAAAAGC